GGAGGAGATTGCGTTGGACGTGTGGGAGGCGATGAAGAAGAACGGGAGGCAGGGGCCGTTGTTTGAGGAGAGGAAGAGGGCTATGAGGTGGTACATGAGGGAGGGGAGGAGCTGATTCCGGGTGGGTAGACTTGGGTTTTGGGACAGGTACCTGATAGATGTGATGCCACCCACAGAAACAAAGCTGCCAGGCTTTTTGTTGGCGTTTAAATATCAGGCTTTTTGTTTGCGCACCTCTCAACAGCTTCTACCCAGCCCGGCAAGCGGCGCTGCCCAAACCTCTTAAAAGTCCTGCACCCCCGTCTCCCCCGTCAGCACCCTCCCCACCCTCCCCCCTCCTTCTCCTTCACCCTCACTGTCAGCCCACCCCGGTTCCCCCCCCTCGATCCACTCCTCCTCCCTCTCCCTCCGCTCCAACTCGTCAAGCTCGTCCCTGTCATCGACCTCGTCATACTCAAAATCCTCATCCTCACCCCTTACAAACCGATCCCTTAGAAACCCCCTCCACCTCTCCTCCCCCTCCTCTTTTGTCTCCGGCGGGGGTGACAACTCGGCGCTGAAGGAGGTGAAGCTCGTCCCCGCGGCTTCTACCTTGCCCCCCCTCCCCTCTCCCAGCCTGCGACACACCCGCCGCCGCCCCGTTCTCACCATTTTCATCCCCCGCCGGTCTCTCCGAGGAGAGCTTTGCCAACCGTTCCTCGCCCCGAAGGAGGGACCCCTCGAGGACGCGGGCGTACCCTTTGGACTTGGAGTCTGCCTCCCGCTCCCGGGGGGTGAGGAAGCGGCGGATCAGGTGATCGTGGAGGAGGGGGTCCGAGAGCTCGTGGTCTGGCCGGTCGAAATAGGACGGGTTTCTGCTCAGGTACTCCCGCCGGCGGTTTTGGACTCTGAGGCGGGTGAGCTCGGATGGGGATCTTTGGGGTCGGGGTCGGGGCCGGGGTCGGGAGTGGACATCTTCTAGTCCCATTTCATCTTGGGTATTGTTCTGAGTGGGGTTGCTTGATGGTGGTAATATTGGGGCCATGATGTCTGTTCTTGTAGTAAAGTGGTGTTGAGTTTTGGGGGAGGGGCGCGATTGCGTGCGACAACAATGGCTATTGAGTTGTAAGTGATGATGACGATGGTGAGAACTAAATCAGAGCGCTGGAGAGCAGGAAAATTAGCGGTTTGGAAATGTGGGGTTGGCGGCTTAAGTGCTGTATTTGCCACTCTTTCAGCAGTTGTCAACATTCTGACTTTGTATATTTATTGCCTTCTCACCTCTCGGTTCTCCATTTCAAGACGAGGATTGTGTCCACAGCGTGTCAAAATAAGTAACAAATTGGACCATTTCATGTTGGTTACTGGCTTGCTAAGCGGTGAGGCTATTCCCATAGACTAAACCAGGGAAACAAGACGTAGACACACAGCAGTGATCAAAGTAAATACTGTCAAGAAACAAAAAAGAAGAGCAGATTAGATATTGACTTGGTAGCTTTTTTACCCAAAGAATAAACAAGAACGCTCATCAACAAAGAGAAAAAGAAATAGATCGTCTGCTGATATCGTCATCACCAAAAAAAACTACCCCAAACAAATGAATAAACATATCCACACATGTATATGTACCATTCCAGACATTACAACGACACCACATCACTCACTCACTCACTCCCACTCCTGGAACTCCCCATAAGGATTCCACTCCTGCCCCGGATAACTCGTCGCGCTCATCTGCACCTTCTCATCCTCCTTCTTCTTCCCAGCATTCATCATCTCATCATCAAACACCGGAATCTTCTCCTCCATCACCATCCTCTCCTGCGCGATCCTCTCCTCCTCGGCCTTCTTCTTTGCCCGTTCAAAAATAGCAATGTTTTCTCTTGCGACCGCCCCGGTTTGTGTTGTCTTGTTGCTTGGCGAAGCAGGCTTGAGTGTCGCGACAGTAGCAGAGGCGATGATGGGCGATTCAACATCGGACAGGTCGTCATCGGAGTCGTGATCGACGGCCGGGGGAGAGTTGGAACGGGGCCGTGGTTCAGCCGGGGGCTTGAGCTCGAGTTTGGGACGAGTGGTGTCGTGGGATGGGCCGGCAGACTTGGTTTCGGTGGGCTCGGAGATGATTATGGTGTTTTCGGCCTCCATAGGGGAAGAGCGAGTCTGAACAGGCGACTGGCGTTGCTGTTCCTCTTGTGTTTGCGGTGTCTGTGGCTGAGGTGGAGGTGAGGCTCGCTGCTGCTGTTGCTGCTGAGACTCAGGTTGTTGTTTCGGCTGCTCTTGGGGAGCAAACTGCGAGTTGCGCGGAGTAGCATCGTAAATATTGTCATCTGGCACACGACTCTGTGACTGCAGGTGCTGAACCGGAGCAGAAGGGCCTTGTATGATTGGTTCTGGGCTGACGGTTCTCGAATCCTGAGGCGGACTGACAGTTCTTGACCCCTGAGAAACGATGCTGGCGCCTGCAATGTGAATCGGAACAACCGTGCTTGGTGCCTGTCGATCCGGGCTCCTTGGCGGTAGGAACTGGCTGCCGTTAGGAGGGGAGGGCGACTGCTTAGACTGCATGTACCGCTGCTGCGAGGGGAGAGAAGCAAGTCCGTTGCCGGCGGAGAACTGGCGCTGGTGAGTGGCGCTGCCGTTTTGCGGCGGGCTGACATTCCGCTTGAGGGGACTTGGCTGCGCAGAGGGCAAAGTGTCGCTGTCCCGGCTGTCGAAACGAGCTGGTTCTGGCCGAGGTTGCACTTGTCTCTCAGGAGGCGAGACGTTAGGCGACGGTGCCTGAGGCGCAGCTGTCCGCACAGAGGATTGAGGTGACACCTCTATTTGGCGGGGAACAGCGGTCAAAGTACTTGCCGGGTGTGACTGCGCTGGTTGCTGCACTGGAGGAGGTGGCTGAGCTGGCTGAGCAGTTTGCGGGGGCTGAGTCTGTTGCGTGGGTTGGGCCTCCGGAGAAGGAACCCGCTCACGCAGAGACGGTTGACTGTTGAATACTGGAGGCTGCTGTAGAGCAGGGACAGCACTGGCAGGTGGGGGTGCTGGAGGTTGAACCGGAACTGGTGAAGGTGCTTGGACATGAACGTGACCCTGAGACGCGGGAGAAGGATCACGAGCGTTGACGGGAACCGAAGAATTCGAGGGCTGGGGTGAAGCACCTTGAGCTCCATTGACCTGCTGAGAATTCACTTGACCAGGGACGGCTCCAGGCGGGACTTGAGTTGGCATCCCTCCTGGCTGTACCCATTGCTGGGGATAGCCCGCTGGAATCATCTGCCCTTGAGGCATACCATACAACCCGACAGGTGTAGGGCCAACATAGAACCCAACAGGCCCAGGAGCAACACGTCCCTCGCCATGAACATACCCATACGAGGCAGGAATAGGGACCCTCTCGTACTTTGGCTCGGTGGGAGGCGGACCAGGGTGAGGAGCTTGCTGCTGGGATGGCGGCGATGGTTGGACTGTTGGCGCAGTCCCTTGCTGTCTCTGGAATTGAGGCTGATTTTGGTATGGATACTGACCAGCAGGACCAGTTTGCTGGGGCCTTTGTTCCTGAGTGGACGCACCAGCTGGAGGTTGTTGTTGTGGCTGCGGCTGGGCTTGAACTCCCACCTGATGAGGCGCGAAAGGCTGGGATTTCTGGCCTTGAGAAGATTGCCCGGCCAAGAACGGTTGGCCACCCATGGGCGGCAGAGCGTTGGGTGAATGAATCTCCATCTGCTTCGTCCCCTTTTTGAAAGCACCAAGGAACCCCGAGAGATTGCCACCCTTCTCCTTCTCGCCCTTTTCTGGCTTCGGTGCCGACGGCCCGGTTGCCTTGCTGCCCTTGAAAAGTTTCGAAATTGTGCTTTGTTCCTTTTCCTTCTGGTGAAACTGAGAAATCATAGGGTTGCCATTCGGACGAGGACCCGGACCGAACGGTGCGCGGTTGGGCTGAGGACCACTTTGGGCCGATCCCCAAGTGGGCTGAGTGCTAATCCCTTGGAGAGGTGCCTGACCTTGTTGAACTTGAGAGGACTGAAGGCTAGACTGGTAAGAGTGTCCGCTCGGGGGGCGAGGCCCAGCTCCTGGTCCCTGACTCAGTCCCTGAGGATGCATGTGGATAGAGGGCGTCTCAACGGTTGGCGAAACAGCAGAGATCGACTGTCTTGACGGGGCTCTACTCTCTTGATCCGGCAGCTGAACTCCGGCAGAAGGGTGGAACTGGGATGGTCCAGCACCTCGCGTTTCTTGTTGGAAGCTAGGTCCCGACACCCCGAACTGTGTCGGGCCCTGTCCTTGATAACCGGCAGGAGGACTTCCGGGAGGAGCAGATTGATCGTTATTCAACCCCTCCGAGACGTTCAGAGGCTTGCGCGTGGGGTTTTGGGTTGGACTGAACCGAGAGCCCTGTCCGTAGCTCTGAGCTGGAGGCTGGCGAACTGCAACAGCTTGCTGAACAGTGAAACTAGCAGGCGAATCGTTCAGATGCCGTCCTTGCTCAACGGCAGCCTGAGAAACAGGTTGCGATTTGCTCGAGACGGGAGACTCAAAGGCGGAGCCAGCAGGGGTTGGGTCGAGCAATTTGGTTGGCTGGTGTAACTGAGCATTCTGCAAGTAAGGCGTAGTTTCTTGCTCTTGTTGGCGGCTGACGGTAGATAGATTCTCTGCCTGACCATGCTGAAACGACAGCTGACTCTGACTTTGTTGAGGAAGCGGCGGCGGTCGATGTGCAATAAACTCATCATCTAGCTGACCGTTATCAGAGGGCTGAGAGACAGGTAGCGTTTGGCCTGGCGATCCCGGACCTCCTCTCCCGAATTGGGACTGGAATAGTTGCTGGTTAGCCGCGGTGGAAGGGCGTCCATCTGGACCCAATGCTGGGCTCATGCCATATTGCTGTTGTCCTCCCCGCCCCGGCGAAAAGGGAATTGGTTGCCCCGGGGGGATTGGCAGCGAGACAGCAGGAGGACCATCCTTGGGCTTGGAGTCAGCTCGGTTGCGTAGGAATCCAAACATGCCACCACTGGGCTTCCGGGTCTGGTCGTATTGCGCAAAGCTGCCCTGCTGTTGTTGCTGGGCTTGTTGCTGTGGTTGCCCCTGTTGCTGTTGTGGTGACTGCTGATTCTGGGCGCCCGGAGGTGGCAGCGCATGACCTGGCTGCCGTAAACCGGTGACAGTTCGCTCAGGTCCAGAGTACAGATTGAAAGAACCGGGCTGCGGGCCAGCTCCCGCCGGAGGGGTGGGACCCTGAGGGTGCTGACCTTGTCCTTGGGTCTGTCCCTGAATCTGACCCGGTGACTGTCCCTGGAACTGCCCCTGAACCGGCCCCTGAGGTGTCCTTGGAACCTCCCCTTGAGGGATGCCTGGCAATGGACCGGGAGGTGGCCCCTGGAGGAACGACGCCTGAGGTGGCCCCTGGTTCATGCCCTGAAACTGGGCCTGTGCCTGAGAGGGTGATGTCTTGATAGTGAATGACGGCGAATGCTTATGCCCCTCTGATCGATGGAAGACATTCTTAAGAGCAGAGAAGCGCTTCTTCGGCGGTCCACCGATGCTTCCAGCTGGCTGGTTTTCCGTGGCATTGGTCGACGTGGAAGTTCTCGACACGTCAGGCCTCATCGAGTTCGGCTGCTGAGGTCCGGATGGTTGTGTGGCACCGATGCCGAAGAAAGTAGTCAGCTTCCGGCCCGGTGGCGCAAACTGCGATGGCGGAGGCGGGACACGTTCACCCATGGGCGTGCCCGGGCCATGCGCAATCATACTATCGTTGTCGGCCGCCCTTCCCCCAAATGGACCGATTGGGTTTGGTAAGTCGCCCTCGTCATCGCTTGAGTCAGAGACGACGTCGTTGCCAACCCCCTGATATCGCGGAGTACCGTCACCGTCCCGGCGCTCGACTGGACCGCCCGTGGCTAATCTGTCTTTGAGTCCTGAGTACACGCCCGAGTTGCGCTTGATACGCCCATCTTCAGTAACCGTGATCCCAGGAGCGCCGGAGCCTGGCGGTGATACATTATTCTTTTGCTGCTGGTTCTCCTGGTCGGATCCCTGCGGGATGACAGGGCTTTGATGAATAGTCGGGAGAGCAGGAAGAGGTTGCGTTGGGTGAGCTCTTTGGCTTGGTAACCCGTTGTAGTGCTGCTGATCCCTAAAAGCCGGATGTGTTTGCTGAGATGGCTGGGAAGCCTGTGGTTTTGGTCTTTGCGAGGAGTGCCCTCCAGAAACAGGGCCGCCGGTCTCCTTGTCAAATCCGTAGTATGGTTGCTGCTGTTGCTGCGGGGGTGATGGCTGCTGATGGGGCTGCTGCTGCTGCTGCTGGTGCTGTGCTTGTTGCTGTTGCTGCCGGTGCTGTGATGAGGCATTGCTTGGTGAGGAACGATGGCGGCTCGAGGGATGTAGAGGTTCTGCTAGATGTGACTCCTGCGGTACCCAACTCTGAGGTTGAAACCTCTGGGAAAGGTTGCCCGGTAGCATATGAGGAAGCATCGGTCCCTGTCGACCGGAACCATCTGTATATTGCTGTGGGCCCTGCGGGGGCACTCCGTTCACTCCGTGTGGAGCATTGACGGCAGCTCCCGCAAACCCGCGGGACAGGCCCGGGGATGGTCCTTGTTGACCTTGACCTTGTAGCTGCCATGTTTGTTGCCCTTGAGTAGGGGCCTGAGTTTGCGGACCAGACGCACCTTGGGTTGGCCGGTAAACAGACTGAACAATCGATTGCTGTTGTGGATGTTGCTGTCCCTGATGACCGGTGTTGGGGTTTTGTTGCGCCGTGCCGGAGTGCTGTTGATGTTGCTGTCCATACTGTTGGAGCTGCTGCTGTTGCTGCTGATGACCGTTACTATTACCCGGACTGTTGTTGTTGTTGTTATTGTTGTTGTTGTTGTTGTCACCAGAGAATCTTTCAGCGTTCAAGCCAAGCGATGAGCCACGGCGAATGGGCGGTAGACCAACAAAAGACGGAGGCCGCTCTATCCCATTTTGGCCAGAATGCTGCTGATGCTGTTGCTGCTGCTGCTGTTGTTGTTGTTGTTGTTGTTGTAGGTATTGTTGATGCTGTTGGTGATGATGTTGGAGCTGCTGATGCTGCTGATGTTGAAGCTGTTGATGTTGATGTTGCTGCTGGGCGCTGAGATACCCCTGCTGGAAGTTTCCCGGAGGAGGTAGTGGCTTGTAAGCCGGATTGTAGGATGCCATTGTAAGTTCGTGATAGCGTAAAGCGAGTACTTGGTGACGTCGACGATGTGTCGCGAAAGTAACGGTGGGAAAGCCAGCGCGGACGCAAGTGGGAGCTCGGATTTAGTTGTGCGTGGTTTGTGAACCGACTGTACGGCCAGGTTGCAAGTGACTGCCGTCCTCCTTGTGTTGCTTCAAACTAATTCCCGATCTTGTCGCTAGGTCGCCGGCGCGGCGACTGCGAGTTGAATTGTCCACTGACTTTTTCTTGATTCGTATCTCTCACCAATTGCTGGTCTGTTGCAGGTTGAGCCCAAGCGCCGCGTGTGCCGGTGTTGCGCAGCGCCGAGGACACCACCGGTTTTCTGGGTGTGTCTGTGTTGGAGGAGGGCGTTTGGTCGAGCTCCGATTGCAAGACCCGACAATCCGGTACAATTCGATCACCTAGGTAGGGCCTCCGTTGTGTCGGAGGACGGATTGTGTTGAACCGCCGCCCGACCGGAGGTGACTCGGGCACCGTATATATAACGTCGCCGCCGTCAGTGTTGGAGCTGAGACGAAGAGGGGAAAAGCAAAAGCTCAAGCTCAAGCTTGTCGATCGTCCCATGTGGAGGTGGGGGCTGGTCGCATCAGGGTCCAGGACGCCCACGTTTGTTCGCGATAGCTGGGACCGAGCCGTTGTCGTTCCCACGGTTGAGCTGGAAACAATGACGACGGTAGCAAAGAGTGCAAAAGAAAAGAAACACGATGCAGAGTAAGCCGCGACAGCAGTTTCCTGTTTTTGAGAGGTCGAAATTGCTGGCAGAAGAGGACCCTTGTCTTGGATGCGAGGTTCAGCCCCCGCAGACAGGGGGTCAGCTTCTCCAAGGCCCGTTCGAGGTGTTCATTGAACCCTGCCTGAGTTTTGTTGCTGCTTATGGGCTGAGATGGCAGCCTGATGCCCTGTGGACCGGTGATGGGGACTTACAGTAAAGTTTCTGTTACTACCGGTCTGCTTTACACTGGCTCGTGTTCTTCTATCACCACTCTTCCCCTTTTGTTTATTGCCGTTTGATGCTGAGATCATGCTGCCTCGCTGGGCTGAGAACCGTAGAGTAAACATTTCGCGACCATGCTATTTTTGCGTGGGAAACAACGGGCTCCGGGACACGATGAGTGGGTGCCCACAGATCCTTGCTAGAGTTACTGCGAACGTGGAGAATGGCTGGCACTATCAGTTCTCCAGGCGGGCTGTGCCGTAGGGTAGCATGTGCTGAGTTCGCTGCCTCTTGGCTCCTGGTGATCATCCTCACCTTGAGAGTCTTGTGGTGCAATGCCCGGGTTTTGTGTTGCGTTGGAAGCCAGAGAAGCCGTGGAACAGAAGAAATATTTTGGTACGCTGGTTGCGTCTTTGGACCTCTCAGCAGTAGCCGGCTGGGCATTGGGAACACTGCAGGGCAGATCGGATTCGACTCCGAGGAGGTGTTGTGGATTTGGCCATGGAGAGGAAATCGATACTGCGTAGCAAGATCCTTCAATTTGTTTCATCGCCTTTTTGCGGCCCCCGGCCTTGTCCCAACTTCCTTTCTTTGCTGTGATCAGCAGTGCCCCAAACAAGACCCCCGATATCGCGGTGGATGATGTGATGAGAGAAGCTAAACTACGGCGCGTGGCAGCGAGAAGGAGCATAAGAAAAGGCTGTGTGTGTGTATAGTCCTTCCGTGGTAGGTACCGACCTACCTACCTACCTTGGTCACTGTACACTGTAGCACATGAAATTCGGCATCATTGTTCTTTCAAGTGTTATATCACTCGCGTGTAGAGTCTTTACCGACCCCCATACAAGTGGTCTTTGAACCCCATCTCTTTGATCAATAATGCTACTACGGTAATGGTTGTCAGTCAAGCACAGAACTGATGATTGCTTCAGGCATATCCGTATTGAATTCCACTGCTCTTCCTGTAAAGGCGCCCGCCCTCTATTCTCATGCCATGCTGCTTACCAAAACCTCCTCATCCATATCCTAATCTAACAGTCCCCCTGAGGTTCAAAACCTACGCCCCAATACTTCGATTTCGTCCTCCTCTTCGATCGATTTCCACCATCAAGAGTATGTTATAATCTTCTATCAGCTGCTTGCAAGCCCAAGCCTCTCCCAACTCCACAACAGCACTCCCTTCTCATCCTCTGACAGTGAACTCGCCACACCACATTTCTCGGCAATCATCAACTCCAGCTTCCTAACAGCTTCCCGAAGAGACTTGAACAAAAGAATTGTACCGCCCAGCTAATCGATGTCCCCCCCAGGGAAATGATTTTTTTTTTTTTAAAAAAAAAAACGGTATCAAACACAGGTAGAACCGGCCCCAAAAAACACCCATCATCTGCACCGGTTTCCGCAGATGTGTTTCGGTTGCCGCAGAATGACATTTGGAAGGTATTGGTCTGATGTGTGAAAGACAGGTCATGCTCCTTCAAGAGGTTCCATGGGCGATGATAGCTTTCATCTGTTCAACAGTCTGTGTGTAATTCCCGTGATCTTCAACGTTTGTATGCCATACCCTGATGCCACCTCCCTATATGAAAAGAAAACCCTCCTCCTAACCAAAACAAACCACCTACCCACCTGCCCAAACCTGAACCTGACTTCACGTGGCTGATGCTTGTACCTGGAAAAAAATAATGTAATTTCCAACCGTATTAACACAATATACAACCCAACCCCAGCTGGGCAAGTTCGTGACCAAAAACAGAGAAAGAAGACACATATCATGAACTTGAAAACACCTTGTCACCCGTTTCCCGGAGCTTGTTTCTGCCCTTGCTGAACAATCCCTTTCCAGCTTTCCCTGCTGCCATCAAGAGCACCTTGCTCTTCTGTACCTGTGCACTATGTTGCAGATGTGAAAATCCACTTGCGCCGTGTTGATGTGGTGGTGGCATAGGAATGTTCGCCGGAAGGCCATGAGCGCCGTTGCCACCAAACTGTTGAGATGGGGCTCCGGTCGGTGACAATCCTTGCTGCGATCCAAAGCCTGCCACAAATGCGTTTGTATGCTCGGGGTGCCGCGATGTCATCATCGTGAGCCACTCATCAAGCCCGGTATCGATTGCGGCGAACTGGGCTCTGGAGTCGTTAAAGGTTCGAATCCTGTCAGGCGGCATTGGCATCTCCAGAACCTGCCGGAATGGAAGGATATTGATGGATCCTTTTCTCGGCGCCACGGCCCGAGAAGCAAGTTGTTGTTGTTGTTGTTCTTGTGGTGCAATATTTTCAGGGGTTGGCGATGTACGCTCTTCACCCGTTGGCGGCTCAACAGCAATCTTTTCATCTGCGTATGCTAGGCTTTTGCCATTAGGTCTGTCTGAAAGGACTGAGATAGGAGATGGTGGTTCAATGGGTGTCGCGTTGGCTGATCTAGGGACAAGGGTACTGCTTGCTTGCGAGACGGTGTCCGCAAGAGGCACAGCGTCGGCTTTCAAGCCAGGAGCAGGACTTGATCGAGCGGCATCCAGCTCGGCAGGTAGTGTTGTGATGGCAGGAAGTGCCAGAGACTTCGGCTCAGCGGCCGGTTCTTTTACCGCAGGCTGAATACTCACAGGCGCCGGATCGCTAAATCCAGCCTCCCATGAGAATCGCTTACGTGTATCTTCCATCACGGGTGTGTTGCCAACTCCGCCCTCCGACGCTGCGGGTTTCGCGGGGCTAGTTGGTGAGCTTGCGGAAAGGGCGACAGCTTTCACATCCAGCGACGGAGCTGTCTCTTCTCGGGGGGGTTCCGCGACAGAAACGCTAGGGGCATCGGAGGGTCTCCCTGCTTCCGGCTGCTGACCAGTTGCGGCAGCGGCAAACAACTCGGCTTCTACCTTTTCTTCGCTCGCAGTCCAGTAGTCATCATAAACATCACCCAGATAGCTGCTTTCCCGAACAGGGGACCGCGCGGCTGCTTGATAAGCGTCCGTGGTGTCTGCGTGAATATTTCCGAATCTTTCTGTTGACTGGACAGGACTGAGTGACTTCATAATCTCTTCGCTCAGAACATCGTTCTCCTTCAAAGGCGAGCTTGTGTCTGCCTCCAGCGTGGACCCAGCCCCGTAGGATGGCGGAGATAAGACAGGATGTACATCAGTGGTGATCTCTGGCGGGTCGCGACGTGGATTCAGTGGCGCCGTGGGCGTGATTTCCGAGGTTTCCGTTGTCGTAGTGGTTGGTTCGGGAGCCGCAAGAGCGTCGCTCTCCACCTTCTCGGTCGTTTCGTAGCTCACGTTTGATTCGGAGCCGGGAACCATCGCAGATGTCGTGCCAAGCGAAGGGCTTGTGGTTCTGAGTGGTGGCAGCGCGCGAGGAGAGGCAGGGCGTGGAAGAGGTGCTTTTTGTGTTTCAAGCAGCCCGCTTTCTTTGACAGGACTTGCCCCGCCGTAGCTAGGTGCGTGGGAGCTATCCATACTGAAAGCAGCGTGTTCGGCTGGCGTGCCCGAGTTTGCGTCTCCGCCAGCCCTCTCAACTGCTGCTGGGACGGGCTCAATCTGAGAAGGCAGCAAAGCTTCACCTGGCGTTGCTGGGGTTTCGGAAACCCAGCCACCCGGTAACGACGGTCTGAGAATCCCTTTTTCGTTGGACTGTTTGTTTGCTGCGGGTTCCCGCGGCAGATCTGCGGCTGGCTGCTGTTGGGCAGGAATGTTCGAACTCGGCGGCGCACCAGAGTCCTGTTGAACCGCAATGGCGGAACTAGAAGTTTCGGCCCCGTGCTTCATGGCAGCCGGGCTGACCGGATGGTTTGAATCGTGCGTCAACGGTGTCTCCCCGGCTGTGGTTTCGGGTGCGGTCGACGCCAAATTGATACCCTGAGTTGCTGGTGTGCTGGGTGATTGCTGTGGCTGATGTTGACGAAGTGTAAGGGCTGGCGACTGTGTCCGTGAAGGATCATTTGAGACCTGCGCGGTGCCAGTAGTAGTGCTTGTTGTTGGGACACCAACGGCTGGGACACCAACGGCCGGGACAGAAGGTTGTTGGTTTGAGCTGTCGAGAAAGCTTGATGGGGAAAATAGGTCTTCGCCAAAGCCCGACATGCGGGTCACGAGCGGTAGCTGGGGGCTTGTTGAATATCGCCGGAGTTGCTTGCCTACATCAACCTTGGAATCTTCAACATGCGCCGGAGGTTGAGCCTCTGAGGTTGTATAATGAGGAGTGTAACTCGCAGGTTCATTGCTGGGCTCGTCGGATCCGTAGCTGTCAAGAAGCCCTTCAAGCCCATATTCGCTCCTTCTCTCGGGAACCGTAGCCAAACCAGGTCTCGAATCTCGATTCACACCAGCTCTTTCCTCATCTTCCCTGCTTCCCGCTTCTGCTCCTGCGGCATATTGTGGCCGGTCGACAACAGGTGGCCCCGTAACACTGCTCAAAGCTGGCCTCGGAGACTCTAACGAACGCTTTCTTTCTTCCTCCAACTTGCGATAGATATCGGCCGGTCGGACGAACGGGGATCTGGACGGCGAAGCCAGCGAGCTCGGGCTTGTGGGCGATGTTGCGGCATCTAAGCTGCTCTTCCGTGGCTGCTGATGAGATTGTGATGGAAGCGTAGCGAGCGACCCTGTGCTCTCCGGCATGGTTACAGCACGCTGAAATTGCTGTGGTTCCGTCGGGGAGCGCGGTCCCATCGGTTTCGACTGCGGCGGTGGGTTCGGCTCAGGTTCGTCGTCTTCGTACTCGTCGCCCCAGTCATCGCCATCATAGTTCTGAGGTTTGAAGTTTGCCCACTTTCTCGTCTTTTGTCTGCTAACGTTGACCTTGTACATGTTGTTTGCTTGCGCCGGAGACCCTACAGCAGGTGACCTGGAGAAGAGGGGGTGTTAGTTCAGCAGTATCATCGACGCACTGCTGTGCGCACCGAGGTTGGGCAACGGGAACGCAGCGGGGTGGCACAATCTGCTTACATGGACCGGTTTGTAGGAAATACATTCCCATAGGAGCCGTCCATTGTGCCGTCCAGTTGGTTTTTCAGCAGCTTCGAGCCTGCAGGCGCAGTAACAGCTCCTCCAATGGCGCAAATTAAGAGGCTGTTCGGAAGGGGAGCTTGGAAGTAGGAGAGCGCCCCAATAATGCAAGTTGGTTCTGTCGGCCAGAATGCGGCAAAACAGAGCCCGCGGGTGTAGCACGGGTTTCGTCCAGTGGTTCAAACCGGATCAGTTGTCGGCTCAAGTTGGTCGCGAGGAGTTGTTTGAGAACCAAAGTTTGAGGGACAGGTTCACGAAGCACGGCTGGTCGGGCGAACGTGGAACAGTTATGAAGGAGAGGAGATGGGCAGATGTCATTCGGGGTTTCCCAGCGTTCCACCCGATCATGAACGAATTCCACTACGGATCTGCTGGGGTTCACGATTTGGGGACAAGGATTAGAGGCGCGCGGATTCGGGGTGGATTTGACTTTGTGGGGTCCGGCCAAGTCGTGCTGATGCCAAAAAAAAAAAAAGAAAGGCATTCATTGTCTGGTCGAAGACAATCGGATTAATTGTGCACATGCATTTTGAAATTGTTTGAGATTGAGGACATCCAAGACACGAGGCCAGCTTGCTGAAGAATGACGCTTTGGAAGGCGGGTTAATCCCTGTGGTTGAGCTTCCACCAAGTTCTCATCATAGCCAATGAGGAAGATCCATTACAGTTCTTCCAGACCCTCGCTCTTAACGGTGATGCAGCTGCCCCAGCATCTCACGAAGTCTTGTGCATCGTGGGTGCCAAAACGACAAGGCCACGGCCCCTGGTCTTTTTTGTGTGTTCCTGCAGTTACTGAACTGGTGGATCGAGAACTCCATACGACTGTCGGCAGACCTCATAGCTTATCAAATTATCACGAGCAGATGGCCCGGTCCCTTGCGCGGGGCTGTGTTGATGCTACTCTGGCTAGATTGCGGGCACTGGATGCCCATCGCCGCGCGTCATCGGATTGCCCAGGAGGCGAGTGTAATTCGTATAGAGCTTCAAACCAGGCCTGGCTTTGCTGATTGCTCTCTGGCAGCTCTGCCGTACAATAGATACACCTATTTTCATAAAGTGCACTCTTGCTGTATCAACTCTAAGTAGCACCTGTAACTCTACAAGTCGCTACAGCGCTGCTGATTAAGAGAGTGACGAGATCAGGACCCTGCGCTATTCGCACAGTCCCAGCCACAGTTCCCGCATCGTCTGCACTGTGCTCACACCTAAACGCAAGTCAAAGGGGGGTCCAAGCGTTCCTTGTCGAAACAACACCACGTTTCCTTCAATCACGACGACATCTTGGACATCGCCAACCGTTTCCAGCCGTCATAGGCGCCCCATTCTGACCATTCTTCCGACAAAGACCCTCGCTGCCGGCTTTCGCATTTACGTACACAACTTTTAATTAATCAACATCGCGTTCCCCTATCTGGACACCTTTCCTCAGCTCGCCTTTCTTCAGTCCACACGGGCGCATCGCGACAGCAAAAAACCCGTATCGTACCCTAATCGTCTTCGGTCACATCATCGAGAACAAATACCAGAGACAGCCACGACCTATATCGCAGTCTTCGTCACCGAACGGCTTTCAAAATGGCCGTCGCGATCAACGACCGCACGGCGGAATTCCGTCACATTGTCAGCGCCGCGAAGCGCAAGCAAGTGGCAAAACCTGGATCGCAGAGACTCCTCGGCAGCAGTCAACAAAGCGCCGCCAACGACGATGTCAAACCCAAGCGCTCAGAGTTTGCGCGGAGTGCGGCAGAAATCGGCAGAGGAATCTCGGCTACTATGGGCAAACTGCAAAAGCTGGCTCAGCTGGCCAAGAAGCGATCCCTCTTTGACGACAACCCGGTCGAGGTGAACGAGTTGACCTTCATCATCAAGCAAGATCTGTCCCGCCTCAACGAGGATATCCGAAATCTCCAGGCCCTTTCCAGACGGCTGCACCCAAAACCGGACCAAGAGGGTGAGAACAACAAGAACATTTTGCTTCTCTTGCAGGGCAAGTTGGGGGATGTCAGCGCGAACTTCAAGGTAGGACAAAACACACCCCAGTCGGATATCTGAACGCGCACTGATGGCCGTGACAGGACGTGTTGGAGATCAGAACCAAGAACATCCAGGCCTCGAGGTCAAGGACCGAGGCATTTGTCTCTAACGTCGGGCAACATGCGCAGCTTTCCTTGCAGCAATCTGCCTCCCCGCTATACGGCACGCCAAACCGGGGGACACCATCACCGGGGAATGACTTGATTTCTCTGAACCCAGTGGTAGACCAGCAGATGCAGCTCCAGATGATGGAGGAGGGTGGCCAGAACAACTACATTCAGCAAAGAGGGCAAGCCATCGAAGCCATTGAATCTACCATCAACGAACTGGGGTCCATGTGAGTTCTTCTCTGAACCTGAAGATCAAGATGACCACAGCTGATCAATTTCTCCAGCTTCGGTCAACTAGCTGGCATGGTCAGCGAACAATCAGAGATGATTCAAAGAATCGATGCCAACACGTGAGCCCCTTCTTCCACCACTCTATTACGTGATGCCATTAGCTAATATCCGTATGCAGAGAGGACGTCGTGGACAATGTTGAGGGCGCACAGAAAGAGCTTCTCAAGTACTGGTCACGAGTCAGCAGCAACAGGTGGTTGTTAGCCAAGATGTTTGGCGTTCTTGTGGGTTTACCTTCCCTTCAGGCCATGTCTATGCAGCTCGCTGATATGATGTTTCTAGATGATATTCTTCCTGCTCTGGGTGTTGATCGCCGGGTAGTCTTTTGGGTTGTTCCCAAAATTACGATTCTCTTGTATAATTATGTCCTTCCTTTTTTAACTGCTGCTACTCGCATACGGGGACTACCGCGTACTTCATTTTTTTTTGATGTTCGCGCCGGCGTTTTCTCGGTAGAATCTTTCGTTGCAAGCATGGTAGACAGAACCTTGGTAATAATGATGGGTGGGCGTGTGGTCTTTTTTGTATCTTGTTTCTTGGGAAGACAAAGAAGGGGGCTGCCTGAATGGCTGTGTACAGAAAAGGGAGGCAGTGAGGCAAAGGGTGCCAGACTATCGCTGGTTGTCTTGAATGGGAAAGCATTGAGAGTTTGAAGAAGCCTAGCTCTGACCTGCAGATTGAAAGATTTGAAGACACGGGGAAACTTGTCCTGTATTTCCTGAGACGAGTGGTAACGGGAGCAATTTTCCACCTATCAAAGTGCCTAAAGACGGTGTTGGAGACCGCAGCGGTACGAGAGGGTGCCCCTGACGAGAGGGGGTCGGATGTGACTGTGGGGTTTTGATGCCATCATGAGGGGCAGCTTCACGTTGAGATTGTAGGCAGACCTCAGACTTGGCCGTCTTTGTCCCTATCCAGACGAGAGATCCCTGTATTTCAAGCAATACGGAGAGAGCAGAACAGTCGCCTTCCGCCTGCCCGCTGTCGTGATACTCCATGATCTGCCCTCGACGCGCTTTTGCTCCGTCCTCTCATTTAGCCGGATAGCTCTCTTTCTCCGCGTGGGATCCATGGTATAAGCTGGATACCTGCTGCTACTTAGCCGTGTTGAACACTCCTTGATCTGTATTTTACTTCCAATCCAAAGCTGTTTCTCAATTCCTCTTTTTTTTTTTTTTTTTTTTTTTTTGCCCAGAATCAAACTGTCTCGCCTATTCGTCCGTCACTTATCTCACCTCAGGACAAACCCCAAAATGCCCCCCAAACACTTCACCCTCAACACCGGCGCCAAAATCCCGTCCATCGGCCTGGGAACCTGGCAGTCGCCCCCAGGCCAGGTAGCCTCCGCCGTCTCCTACGCCCTCCAAAACGGCTACACGCTCATCGACGGCGCCTACTGCTACGCCAACGAAGATGAAGTCGGCCAGGGGCTCGCAGAGGTCTTATCCGCCGGCAAAGTGAAACGAGAGGACATCTTTGTCGTGAGCAAAGTCTGGACTACGTACAACACCCGCGTCGAGGAAGGATTGGACAAGAGCTTGAAGAGTCTGGGGTTGGATTACGTTGATCTGTTCCTGGTTCACTGGCCGCTGCTGATGAATCCTGAGGGTGAGTACGGCTCCGGGCAGGTGAGATCAGGGGTTTGATGTTGATCGGAGATAGGTAACCACGACCGGTTCCCCACCAAACCGGACGGGAGCCGCGACATCATCCAGGGGTACAACCATGTTGATACCTGGAAACAGATGGAGGCGCTGCTGAAGACTGGCAAGACAAAGGCCATCGGTGTTTCCAACGTAAACCCCCCCCCCCCCCCCGCCCTTACCCTCCTCTCCCGAGTTCCCGTTGCTAAAGAGAAAAAACAGTACTCCAAGCTCTACCTTGAACAGCTCCTCCCCCACGCCACAGTCATCCCAGCCGTCAACCAAATCGAGAACCACCCCGGTCTTCCCCAGCAGGAGATCGTCGACCTTTGCAAGGAAAAGGGAATTCACATCATGGCGTACAGCCCCCTGGGGTCAACTGGTGGACCGCTGTTGAGCGCTGAGCCGGTGGTCAAGATTGCGGAGAAGCATGGCGTGAAGCCGAGCTCGGTCCTGCTGAGTTACCATGGTTTGTCCCCACACCCAGTGTTTTTGAAGACGTGAGAGGCTGACAGTGAGAAACAGCCCCGAGAGGCAGCACCGTGCTCGCCAAGTCCGTCACCCCCGAGCGCATCAAAGAGAACATCGAGTCTCTGATCGACCTGGATGAGGAGGACCAGGCTGAGCTGAAGGCGTACTCTGACAAGCTGGTTGCGGAGAAGAAGTGGCAGCGGTTTGTGTACCCGCCATTCGGTGTCAACTTTGGTTTCCCAGACAAGCAGTGATCTGGTGAGCGGAAAGGGTATGGGTATTCAGACGTTTCTAGAGATCTCATAATCACATATTGACCAGCACCTTGATCACCAATCTTCCCTCGTCGTCTTTGACTCGACCCGCCATTCCAAACGCTTTGGGTATGTTCTCAATACCTGTGAAGCGTTGCGTGATCAGGTGATTTAACCCAGGCAACTTTGATCGAAGACCATTAGCGAGCAGCTCAATGGCTTTTTGGTAAGCATTTGCATATCTGAAGACTCCAACGAGGTCGACCTCTCGGATCGAGGCTGCTGAGATGGGAAGAGTCTGAATTGGGTTGCCCATGCCGATGATCATGACTTTGCCTCCTGGAGCCGTGGCCTGCTTGATGTCAGCAAACGCAACGAGGTCAAGACTTCGGGACTCACAAAGATGGCAGCCTGCAGACAGCTCTCCACCCCCGTACACTCAAACGTCCCATCCGCCTGTCCCATTTTCTCCCCTACCATCTCCGCCACCTCCCTCGCAAACACCAGCTTCTCCTCTATCGTCTCCGGCCTCTTCATTGGCACGACCACCCCCTCATCCGCAAACCCATTCTCGGTCGCAAACTTGACCCTCTCCTCCTGAATATCCGCAATAATCACACTGGCCTTACTCACAACTTTACCAACGCCCGCACAAAGCAAGCCCACCGTCCCAGCCCCAAAGACCAAAACCTTTGCCCCTTCCTCCAACTTTGCCCTCTGCAGCGCGTGAAGAGCAACAGCCATCGGCTCAACCAGTGCTCCATCCTCCAAGCTCACTCCCTCGGGTAGTTTATGACACCACTTCCGGGGGTGTACAATCTCCTCCTGCAGCGTCCCCTGGGCATGAGGCCACGCCTTGGCGGAAGAGCGGAACTTCATCTCGGGGCATATGTTGTACCTCCCTCGAAGACAAAGATTGCATGATTCACACGGTTGTCCAACTTCAAGAGCCACCTTGTCTCCGGGGGACAGATTGGTGACGGCTGAGCCGACAGCGGTGACGATTCCGGCCGACTCATGGCCTAGAGTCAGAGGCTCGCGGACAAGGATGTCGCCATTGCGGAAGTGGTTGTAATAGTGAAGGTCTGAGCCGCAGAGGCCGGTGGCTTTGACGGTGACGCGGACGTCGTTTGGCGTGAGGGGTGGAAGCGGGCGGGTTTCCTGCCATGTCAGCAGAAGCCTTCGCAAGAATAGAGGGGAAAAGGAGACTTACAAGACGGAGGTCTTTAGCCCCATAGAGGACCGAGGTTTTGACTTCAGTGGACATGGTTTTGGTGTTGAGGTCCAAGTCAAATCGGTAGGTAACTATGGCTGAGGAGACACGAGGTATATGGTAAAAGATGTGACCAGATCTTCAAGGCATGATGAGAACGATCAACATCGCCCAGGAAAACGATAGGATAAATAAATATCAAAGTGACCCTCGAGCTCAGGCAGCCCAACGGCGAATCAAACCTCCCTGCCCAACATCTCCACTTGTACCGCCCACTCGCAGCAAGTGGGAGCGGCCATCCGATCGACTATTGGTCATGATGGAGGATCACAACCAGTCATCATCGACAAAAAAAGAAAAGAAAAAAAGCAAACACGATCATGAGGTGTTGCAGATTACTTGGACCTTCCACGCGCCTATCCGTAGAAAGTGACACAAAACATACCGAGAACCAGGGACGTGGGGCAGAGCGAGAAGAATGGGAGGTTCCCATCCGATGACGGCTGGTGTCGAACGGGAAAGAGCTGCGGGTGTAAAAGTAGGCAGGTGGGGGAGGGGTCACAGTCTGGCTTCGGATGAGCTCCAACTGGTCAAGGTGAAAGCAACGGAATGGCCGAGATGTACAATATTCTGTAGATTGCTCTACCTTGAGGCATCCCTCCCCTTGCAGCAGGCCGAAAGTTTGACTGCACATCCTGTACATCTCCCTAGTCAAGTCTGTGAGCGATACGGACAGCCTAACGCCATGTTTTCCCTCAAAGATCACACTGCCCTCGTAACCGGCGGAACGCGGGGTATCGGGCAAGCTGTCGCCATTGCACTCGCCGAAGCCGGGGCAGATGTCATTTTGGTCCAGGTACCTCTCCTCAGCATGACGGAAACCCCCAGTCTCGAGCTTGGACTAACGTATCACTCAGAGAAATGCAAAGGACGAAGAGACAGCAACCGCCATCCGGAAACTGGGGCGCAGAGTTACAGTCGTTGCGGCAGACCTCAGTTCTCCTACAGAGGTGAAGAGGATCGTTCCCGAGCTACTGGACGAGGGCCGGGAAATACGCATACTGGTCAATTGCGCCGGCATCCAACGGCGGTACCCCTGCGAGGAGTTCCCAGATGAGGACTTTAACGAAGTCATTCAGGTCAACCTCAACAGCGTCTTTACCCTCTGTCGGGATATTGGTGCTCGCATGTTGACGCTTGAGCCCTCGCCAGTCACTGGCCGCAAGGGATCCATCATCAACTTTGCTTCTCTGCTCACCTTTCAGGGAGGACTCACCGTGCCAGCTTATGCTGCTTCGAAGGGAGCTGTTGGGCAGCTCACCAAGAGCTTTGCCAACGAGTGGACATCCAAGGGAATCACGGTGAACGCCATTGCGCCTGGATACATCGAGACAGAAATGAACACTGCGTTGTTGAACGACAAGGAGAGGCTGGCGAGTATCAGCGCGAGGATACCGGCCGGAAGGGTAAGTACACCCACCATAATACCTGGGCAATAACTGACCATCATGCAGTGGGGCACCCCTGAAGACTTCAAAGGGACAGCCGTATATCTAGCCAGCAAAGCAAGTGCATATGTGAGCGGTCATGTCCTCGTTGTGGACGGCGGATGGATGGGTCGGTAATCACCAACTTTATTATTCGTGATTATGAAATACGAAGCAGACTCAAGCCAAAACCCTAGCGAATGGACCTCTGATTCCCTCACTTTGATCCCTGAACCGACTTCATCACAGACTCCATCCAGGGGTACACCGAGCTGTTGGCCATCGGGTAGCCCATATGCAGAGCATTGGCGAAGAACCTAGCCTCCTTGGGCGAGCCATGCTCAAACAGCATCATCGAGTCCTCGATGGGCATGAGACCGTCCAGCGTGCCCTGTTCTTTTGTTAGTTTCATGCTCGAGGGGAGAGGCAGGTAAAAGCTCACATTGATCAACAACAACCTCGCGCTCTCCATCTTCAGAATCCCCGTCTCCAACAACGAAAACTTCTTCTGCGCCTTCTCCTTATACTCGTCCACGCTCCCAAACCCATGCTTATGCGCCATCGCCGGCGTCAACTTGAAGGGATACTCATGCCCATCCGCCCGCTCCAGCCACTCCCTATCATAAAAGTAATGAACCCCCGCCCCCTGAGCAACACTCCCAATGATCCTCTCCTTGTGCGTATGCGCCACCCGCACGGCATAATAGCCCCCGCTACTCAATCCCCAAACCATGACCTTCTTCATATCAAACCTCCCCTCTTTCGCCATCCAATCCAGCAACGAACTCCACAGCCTATCCGGGCTCTCAGGATCGGCACTATCAGCCGGGCAGTCCGCCGTCCCAGGGATCTCCACAACAACAGCTGCCCACCCCCGAGCCAAAAACTCCTCACACCGAACGGTATTGTCAGGCCGGTACCCATCCAACCCAGTCATGAGAACAACAGCAGGAAACGGCCCCGTCTTCCCGTCGGGAACCCGAACGTAAACAGGAATATCCTTCCTATCCCTCCCCTTGGCCTGGGCATGAGGCACAACCACCTCCTCCAACGGGCTCTCCCACGTCTTCCCCGCCTTGGCATACGTCGCCTTTTGCTTCTCCCACGCCTCCCACTTCGTCTTGTCCGTCACGTCGGGAAAAGAGGCAATATACGGGAACCTGGCGATCCTCAACACGGTACAGGCCCTCAGGTACAGCTCCGAGGCCTTGGTCTTGTTGCCTTGGGCGAGAAGCTCATCGCCCTGTCGTTCGAGGTTGTCGGCCGTGGGGATGAAAGAAGAGGTGTACTCGGCTGAGGTCCCATCGTTGACGTTGCGCGCGATGAGAGACTGGAAGATGGGTTCAAAGTCGGAGAATCGGCCGTCGTGGAAGGGGTAGAGGGACTTGGTGCACTTCCCCACTCGTCAAAACATGCCCTGGTGGTGGGTGTGATTGTCGTTTATCTGGTAGACAAGAACTTACGGGAAACCTCCACTTCGTCTCCCACAACGCCTTGATCCCCTCATGATGCGGCATCGTGGCCTCAAACGCCTCCCGGCCCATCAGCCATTCTCGCTGTTCCCCCGTGCCATCCACCCCCGAGATACCCCCGATGTTCTTCTTCGCCGGGACAGAGTGAGGAGACATGGTTGTTGATGTGACTTGATTTTGATATCCGAAAGTTTTTGTCAAGGTTCAACACAAATGATGAGAGAAAAAAAAAAGACCCCAGAGAGCGGCCCGCAATGCAATGCAATAAAGTACAAAATAAACCAAATAAAAGAGTTAGATCACTCTGACAACCTTCTGCTTGGAGAAAACTGGCACTCCGTCCTTGGATCCAGCGTACACAGCGGTAGTAGTCGATCTTCTGCGGGCTCTCCTGACGGGGGAGGTTGCTTGATCACGGACTCTTTTAACAAGGTGTCAGCACAGGAGACATGCCACAACATATATAGAAGGGACCACTGACTGCGACTGAATCAGAGCAATGCGCACACGGGCGACGGTAGCGTTGAGATCCTCAGCAATGACACCCATTTTGGTTAATATGAATGATCTGTCGGGTTTGGTCTTGGGGAATATCCGTAGTCCGAACGGTAGGTAAGCGGCTAGGCTGACGGGTTGTATCTATGAGTCGGGTACAGGCGAAGTTGGTGAGACGGTTATGTGTGTGATGTTTATATGCGTAAAAGCTGTTGTGGTAGCTAGGACTTGAAACTGCTGTGAGCTTGCTTGATAACTTCGAAAGAAAGCGTCAATAAACAGAAGACGGGGAACACCTGAACATATATAGATCACCCAAATTGCAAGGTGCACAAGAGCAAGGCAAGGCAAGGTCGCATAGGTGACTGGAAGGTGGTCAGATGGAATGGCTTCCGGCCCGTCAATGGTCACCTTTTTCGCATTCACCTGGGGAACCGACATCCAACCTTCCAGACCAGGAAAAGCCGGGATGCACCTGGCGGAGCTGAATCAATCCGTCGAAGGCCGAACCTGCGTAGAGCCAGCCCATTCCTGGCCCATCTCCGAGGACAAGAAGCATTCGCGGTGCTCAGCGGACCATCCTTCATGGCTGCACAACAGACGCCTGTGTCGATCACCATTGGATAACGGGGAATTGGGGAATAGGAAAGTCCACTAAAGGAAGTCCGGTGGGGTGTCAGAAGAGCAGAGTTCGGCGTTTGAACTGCTGAGCCTGCAGCAGAAAAATGGCCGACCAACCAGTCAGGACGTGGTGTGTGTCGAGTTGGCCTGCTGGTGGATGGGTTGTGTTGTTTCCCTTCGAGACCGCCCAGAATCACATGCCACAGGGCCGATGGATGGATGTGTCCCAAGGGTGAGAAAGGGGGCCCTGGTGTTACTGTAACGGTAGGGCCATTGTGGCAGCCCGCTAACTGCCGCCAACAGGGCCAACGGGGCCTTGATTCCGCGCGGGGTTGCACCAATCTCGACTGCGTCCTTGGTCTCTGCTTCTGACGAGACTGGCTCCAATCGTCAAAACAAAGTCGTGCTACGGAAAACATCTTCTCATGCCGACATGTCTCGCTTGCCTGAATGGGCACACCGGCATCCGTTGAGTCTGGCTGTACAAGAACTGCGTATTGTCAACACTGAAACACAAGCACGCCAATCTAGACTTTCTGGTTACATCACAACGGAATGAAACAACAAGGCTGGCTTCATGATACTGTGCTAACTTCAGCAAGTGTTGACAGGAACATATGATATCAATGTGCCGCCCTTTGTGCGCCAAAATGGTAGCGTATGTCCAACATATCGTGTCGTCGTGACATTACCGATAGATCGTTGATCGTTCCTGGACAGTGTGGCAGTCTCGGTGCCAAGCTCCGTGGGGTTGCAAACACCAGCCGTACTCCGCCCCCCAAGTATTTTGGAATGGGCCGACGTCAGAGGTTGGGTTCTTGACATTTGAGCTGCTGAACAATCCCGACCCCCCCCCCCCCCCCCACCAGTCAGCAGCTTCTCCGAGAAAGAAAAAAAAGATATCTTGCGAAACAAACATTATTTGTTGTGATAATGGGCCATCTCGAGCCCCGCTCTCTTAAATCCACACTTGACATAGAAGCCCTCATTGTGCTCGCTGCAGTCCAAGATTGTCTTGTAGCAACCCGTCTCTTTGGCGATGAAATCGAGAGCCTGGATAATTCTAAGACCCAGTTTCTTCCCTTGTTGGTCCTTCGCAACAGCGATGTCTTCGATGTGTCCGACCTTCCCAAGGCCGTGAATGCTGGAGTGCGACGACCACGTTAGCCCATCCCTGCTGCTGGGACGATGGTGCGAGACGGCTTCGGGGTGATAGGTTACTCACAACTTGCGCTCCACGATCAGCGCACCGGTACCCACGATCCTGGGTGGGTTGAAGTTGGTATCTTCAATCACGAGAATAAAGTAAGTGCCGTCTTGCTTGGCCAGCCACTGGTAGCGTTCGTCAAACTCCTGCCGGGAGATATCCCCCACGGTTGTCAGGACTCGAAGACAGTCGAGAAAGCCATGCTCGTAGTCTTCTGACCGAAGCGCGCGGAGCTTGTAACCCTCTGGGAGCTCAGCCTGGACACTGGGAGAAAGGAGGTCGGCCGAGAAAAGATCTTGGGTGCTCATTGTGAAAGTGATCGTCTGCGTGTTCTGGCTACGTGCGTTGGGCTGGATCGATCGAGCGATGTCGGACCAAACGGCGACAAGATGGTACAGTTTGTCGAATTGAGGAAGGTAGTCGTAGGAGAGGAGAAGACGTACGGAACTCCGTGTGGGAGGTTCTCTTACCGGTTGGTGCAAATGCTGAAAGCGAACGTTGTCGGCCCAATGAGAACAAGATGGATCACGAAAGGGAATGCGGATGTTGAATCGATGTGGTCAATGGTCAATGGCCAGGGTTTCGACAGCACGTCGTGGACAAAATAGCTGGTACCCCCAGTCAGCCAAACGTATAATAAGTATTTTGAGTTGAACCTTTTGAAAGAGAAGATAGGCCATTTTAATTATTTCTGAAGCTTATTTAGCATCCTTTTAGGTGTATTAACTATTCCTCAATGTCTATCAACTATCTTTCAATATCTATTAACTGTATTTTTAAGGTGTGGTTTAGAATACTTTCCTCTATTGACTTACCTTTGCAGTGCCGGTTATTTTGTCCAGGGCGTGGACCAGCCCCTAGGTACCCGCTTCCGATTCAAGGGCTCGGGAACGGTTCGGGCCAGCCCTGTTGCACAGCGATAAGAAAGCGGGATCGCTTGCTGTTGGGAAACCCACCAGCTACCCAGCTCCCACCACGAAACTTGGAAAACAGATCGATAAGAAAACGCCCAGTCCAACCTGGAATTGACCTCTCACGAACCAAAGTAGTTTGTCGTTGATTTGTGCTATGGCCCCGACCCAGTCCGTCGGGAAGGAACACGGTAGGCGCACCGCATCAGAGGCTTGACCGTTCATGTGTAAAAGCTTGGATGGGCGAGTGCTCGCTCCTCCTCCTCCTCCTCCTCCGATGCTTTTGCATCCGTCTTGATGGCCCCGCAGAGAGAAAAGAGGGCCTCCCATGGCCGTGGAGTCTTGCCGACTTTTGAGTGCCTGTTTCTGGCTGTGATGATGAAGTGATGTAGAGAGGACCGCAGCGCCGGTCAAAGCCAATCTCCAACTCATCAGCCCAATATTTGTGCATCGATACCCGCCACATCTGCCCCGCGTTGCTGGAGATAGTGGAGTGCGAAAGGCGGGGTTAGCTGGGTTGGGTCCTGTTTGGCAGTTGGAGTCTGCTCGCTAATGCCGCTATGGCGCCCCTAACGACCGGCAAATGACCGTCCCCACGTCATCACATGCCAAATTAGCCTTTGGGGGCCACAGAAATGCAGAGCCCAGTGACGATGTGGAATGCCTCCAGCACTATCATGGAACGCATAATTGTGACAATCTCAGGGCTGGCCAGCCGTTCTAGCTGTTTCGCCACGCCCACCGCTCTTTTCTTCCTCCCCTAGAGTTCAGCAATAATAGCTGTTTCTCCTTGCTCTCGCCCCCCCTCCGTCGCCCATGATGATGAAGGTCCTTTCCTCTGGCCCTCCTGTCGTCCCCCAACACATTGCGAAATTCCCTTCGTTGATCCCTTGCGCGTCGAACCAGCCTACCTCGGGATGACCAGCCGAGGCCCTGTGCGATCTAATCACCCTCACGTCCTTTGTTAATTTGACACCTATCCCATACCGCCCTCTGTTCTTGCCTTGCGCTGAACGATGATTATTGGAAACTATGGAGACATAGACGATGTCGATATGGACGTGGATCCGGAGGACGCAGGTCCTGCCCGACTTGCCGTGATTCCTGACGAGGACATCGGAACCCAGATTCGCGATGTCTCAGCCTCGAATCCCGGGAAGACCCTTCTGCCAACCCCGGTGGCCAAAGTCGTCAGTTTCGCGACCCGGTCCACAGGTCTAGCTCTACGTATGAGCACGGTGATAGGCGGGTATGGCTTCGATGCCGCAAAGCTCACCACCTTGTCGAGTCTGGAACTTGGTCGCAGTATTCTCGGAGGCATCATCAGCAGAGCTGGAAAAGATGTCATCTCGCGTTCTGGTACAGATCTTGGAAGAGCAGATGCTGAAACTACACTTGAACGGAGCCTTGAAAATTTGCACAGGACCATGACCCAGATCGTCTTTTGGACCACAACCAGTTTTCACATGACGGGTACAACGCTCGCCATGATCTCTGAGACTTCCCAGCTCCTCCTGTCGACCCTGGATCAGTTTTTCGGCTCAACAGATTCATCGCGGGCCATGGCAAGCATCATCACTTTGATCCGTCGCGAGTTTCAGAACCCCGCAACGGGCAGACAGGGAGAAAAGGTCGGCGTGATTGACTTGATGCTGGGCCTGTGTGGGATGGCATATCTGCAGAGATGGTGTCGGCGCCTGCTGGAAGAGGAGAGTCGTACCTTGAGGGTCGAGGAGGTAGTGTGGGACGTGGTAGTGCTGAGTGATGGTGTTCGGGTTGATGTGCATGAGGGGAGTCTGTATGGAGTCCACAGCGGATCGTACGCCGCCGAGGAGGCCTCGTCGAAGGAAACAGTGATCGCCATCAACAGTAACGGCGAACTCAACGACGATGACCGAAGTCGCCTTCCCGTGGCCCAACTAGAGCAACAAATCATGAGGTCTCTTCCCGATAACGCTAGAGTGTCTATCACCCGGCAGATTCGCACGACCGAGATTATCACAGTGGAGGTTACCGGCGGTGATGAGGATATCAGGGTTGACACACCTCCTGGCGTGGAACTGATTGAGGAGCCCCGGGCCGTTCGCCACAGCTTGTCCCAGACTCAACTGCGTGGCCGCCCGGAGAACAGCATCTCTGATTCTCGGTTTGTGTTCCGGCATTCACGAAGTCACGAGAGGCGAAGCTGGTTTCAAAAGGAGCACGGAGATGTCAGCCAGGTTCCCGGGTTTGTGGAACGGATGGACACGGAGTCTCCCGGAACGTCAGACGTGGAAACGGACGAAGAAGACCCGTCACCACCACCATCGGTCCCTCCTAAGTCATCGAGAGAACAATTACGACCACCTATCCGACGCCCCAACTTCCAAGGCTCTGGTTCGCCGATATCGCCGTCTTCCATCAGCAAACCATCCCGTATACCTTCTGCATCGAGACACGGGGTGGAGAACGCAGCAAATCAGAAGCGACCAAGGATACCCCCAACCGATTCCTCATCAAACAATGACAGGCCGAGCTCCTCTTCCAGGAGACAGTCATTCAACCGATTGCTGCCTTCCTACAAGCAGCAGAAGGAAGATTCGGGTCCTAGTATAGGCTCCTCAGCCAAGAAAGGGGGTTTCAGAAGCGCGTTTACCAAGCCAGGACGGCTCTTTAATAGAGAGGATTCTGGCTCAGAGAGCAGCGCCGGGAAGACGAAGGAAACCGCGAAGCCCGCCAAGCCCGCCAGGCCACCATCACATCTAGCAGTTCCTAGCAAACAGTCCTCCCTGATTCCAAAACAGCCTGTAATTGTGCCGCCACAGAAGACGACAGCGACAAAAACATCGCGGCCAGGGACTGCTGATTCACGCCGAAGTGTTCCGAGGAGCGAGTCGCGGGCTAGTTATATTTCAGTGCACAGCCGTCGGGACTCTTCCATCTCCCAAACCGAAACATTCTCTATTACAACCGCGGATGACTATCGGCCAGTCTCACCTTATCAGGAGAATTCGTCAACCAATCCTGTTGTTAGGAAGGCGAGGTCGGACAGAGAGCTTGGCGGTCCGCTTGGTGGTCCAGGGACTAACCATCGTCGGGTCAAATCTCACATGTATGCGCCCAGCATCTACACTCTCAGGGCCAATGAATCGCAAAGTTCGCTTGTTCCATACCAAAACTACCAGTCCAGGAGTGCCTACAGCGATACCGAGGCGTTGGGCACTCTGCGAAAAGCTGGGAAACTGGACACCATCTTTCCCAACGACCATTTTCTGACCAACATCACTCGATACATGAGATTCGCTTCTGCTTCTTATGGGTCAAACTTCCTCAGAGTCCTGGGCATTGCCAAAGAGATGCCCATCTTGCGCGCCCTCGATGACACCCACCACGAACTCCGCTGCTTCGCTCACCACACCGAATCCGATGCCAACAGCATTCTGCTCTCCTCCTTTGTCGACCCCCAAGGTGGCTCTGACGGCACGGGCTCCACCAACACTGGCGTACCCCTCGTTCATTACATCTCTCTTGACCACAAGGCCAAAGCCGTTGTGCTTGCCTGCCGTGGGACACTTGGCTTCGAAGATGTCTTGGCAGACATGACGTGTGACTATGATGACCTTGTCTGGCGTGGCAAGGCTTACAAAGTCCACAAGGGTGTCCACGCTTCGGCCAAGCGGCTGCTCTATGGCGGCGACGGCAGGGTCCTCAACACGCTCAAGCAAGCCCTGGAAGAATTCTCCGATTACGGTCTCGTCCTCACCGGTCACTCCCTTGGCGGTGCTGTTACCGCTCTCTTGGGAGTTATGCTCTCGGAGCCACACCCAAGCAGTTCCACCTTCATCACCTCACCCAACCCTCATACTCGACTCCTCGGCGACGGCACCACAACTACTGCTTTCCGGCATCAAGAGATATGCCTCCCTGCTGGCCGCCCGGTTCACGTTTTCGCCTATGGCCCGCCTTCGACGATGTCGGCTTCTCTGAGCAAAGCCACTCGCGGTCTGATCACCAGCATTGTCAACGGCAACGACCTCGTGCCCTATCTTTCACTGGGAGTCCTCCACGACTTTCAGGCAGTGTCGCTGGCCTTCAAGACAGACAACAATGAGGCCAAGGTGGAAGTCAGACAGCGAATCTGGGACGCGTTGCAGTCAGGGATAGCAGACAAGTGGTATGGCTCTAGCGGGAGCGGTGGCGAGTCTTGCAAGAGGGAGGATGACGATCAGTGGGCTTATGCTGCGCTCAAGGTTCTCAGAGCGAGCATGATGAGCCAGAAGTTGCTGCCGCCTGGAGAGGTGTTCGTTGTGGAGAGCACACGGGTGTTGAGGCGAGATGCCTTTTTGGTGCCGGAGATTGGCGGAGAGGATCTGGGGAGACCAGCCCACCGAGTGGTGTTGAAGTATGTGAGGGATGTG